GATTGTACCAGATTTAAAAATTATTTGAATAAATGGAAATTACATATGGGCAACAATGTTTTGTTTGTTTAGAAAGAGAACATCTGCTATGTTAAATATTTTTAAATTTTATTTTCTACAGAAAAGAAAAGTCAGTCACTGTCTTGGAGATTTCATCAGTTACATTCATTTCATGGCACTAAAGACTGTTGATAAAGCTACAACTGTATACCACTATGTACTGAACTTGGTGAAGGTTTTAAATCACAGTTTTCCCTATGTGTTACTCTATTGTGGGACCAGGGCCTCAGCATCATTCTCATAAAAAGCAAGGGCAAAATTGCAATGAACTTCAATGGAAGGGGTCTGTAAGAGGATGCAGTCCTGCAAGTGAAAATTAACTTTACAGCTTTTATACAGAGGTTGAAGGAAAGCTTCAGAATATGACTTCAGTGCAGTGATGTGAACATCCCCTGGGAAACCATCTCCCTCCCAAACCCTCTTCATTTGCAGTTGTTGCTTTTGCTCTGGGCTTCAGTCTTACAATTCTGATGACCTTGGCTGAAAGCTCACTTTACCAGGTCAATCAGTCAGCCAATCCATTCAGATGTCCTTTCCGTGTGGAGTCAATGTGTCCCAGTGTGTCCCACCCCTTCCAAACAGCCTTCTTCCTCAAATAGCACATTATGATCAAATATGGTGAATATTTGATGTTTACACTCCCTTTTTAATGCTTTAGCAATTACTTGAAAAGAAAAAAAGAGGACATCATGACACTAGCACCACATGGCTTTGTTGAGGTTTTTAAAAGAATGTTTCTCATAGTTTCACACAAGCAACCATCCCTATTTTATGCTTTCTTATTGGATGAACTTTGCATATGAACCTTCTTGTTCGTACTTCTTTTTAAAAGTCTCAGATGCATGACACTTAGTAAATGAAATGCATCAAACAGCTCTTGCATGTAATGTCATTCTTATTGTAAGGTTGAATAAATATGAGATCATTACACTAAGAATGAATTTTGTCCAGTGAGTTCCAGTAATAGTGTGTAGGATAGCCAGTGTTAACAGCTACATTCACAGAAATCTGCACAGTTTTTCCCCCAAATACGATTTACTATTGCACAATATAACATGAACATCTTAAAAAAAAACCAAAATCAAACATGCCTCCCAAAATAATAATAATAAAAAATCTTACAGACCAAAAAGTTCAAAAAACAACAACCAACCAAACCAACAAAAATGTCAACCACAAAAAGGCCAAGATGTCTTGCAAAGCAGACCTTGGTTATAGTGTATACATATATGTATGTATATACATATATGTATATGCATACATAGCTAAGTATATAACTAAAAGTTCTGAAATGGTTTAAATTTCCTGTTAAAAACTGCCAGTATGATATGGTTTACTTTTTTTGTTACCTGGAAAATAATGAAAATGTAAAGTGAAAAATGCCCTTACGAAAAATTTAGATTTTTTTCTCATAAAAATAATATTGTAAGAAAACCCAGACAAAGCCTCTATATTCTCGAGTCCCTGGTTTAGTGAAAAGATACAGCCATTTTATCAACATTAAGAGTAGACTTAGGTACTTTGCTGAAGAGCGGTGAAAGTAAGCATATGTTTTAAATTAATCGCATGCATAAATGCTGTCTCGAACCAGAGCAAAGCAACACTCGGCGTTAGAGAAAGACATTTTCTGCAACAAAGTTAAATGCAGTCTTTAAATTTTAATGTCTCTGTTTGACCTTTTCTTTCATTATTATTTAAATCCTTCTTTATCCTTCATTGTCTAAAATTATCCATTCATATCAAGTTAATGGCAAAATGCTTGATGCCATGGAAATATCTTCTGTTTCTTTTTAAACAACATTATTATGTTAATAGTGGTTGAAAGTGCATTATGATTCCTGAGTCATAGGTATCATAAATCAAACCCATTTCTTTTCCCAAACTACATGTAGAAATTTGTAATTCCACTTCCAACCCTCCATATGTATTTTTGCATAATTTTTACCAGTGAAATAAATTGCAATGTTGAATTGCTGTGCTGGATAACCTGTGAGGAAACTGTCAGTTTTCTTCTGATATTTCTGAAGGGATTTCAATATCACAAAGAGCAAGGAGGGTTAGAATTACAGTATTAGCTTTCAAAGCTGATTATTAAAGTGCAATGCTTATTTCATTTAAACTGGCATCCCATGGAAGCTGACACACCTAACACCTGATCTGCCACAGTGATGGGAGGAAATTATTGCAACCATGGAATATCTGGTATCTGTCCTAAAAGGTGAAGGTGGAAAAATATCTCTTGAAGGAGTCATTGCTTATATTTTTAGTGACTTTTCAGACAGTGAAATACATCTGCAAGCATTTATGAGATACATCCTGCTTTATATCAGAACTGGTGAGTTTATATTATAACCAGTATTTATATACTGGTTTTATAATAAAACTTCCCCAAGTTGCACTGAGATCCAAATTTTTGTCTACAATCAGTGTCAGCATTAAGCTACAAATTTTATTCAAAATTCCATCTGTTAAAATGTAGAAAATTAAAGGTATACTATACATATTGCTTAACATTTTCATTCCATGGTCATGTAGTTTGCTGGTTTAAATGCATTTATGGCATTAACATTTAAATAGATGGGTTTATCTTTACCTTTAGTTTCACTGTGACTCTTAGGGGAATAGTTAACTACATTAGTAGCATTTTCATTGTGATACAATAATTTGCTGTACAGTGACACAAAATATTTCCACACATCTGGAAGACTCCCATGCTGGCCAAGTGTTCCTGGTCTGAGTATCAGCAGCATTTTACTTGGGGAAGACATGAATATGTAATGTCGGTTATGGCCATGATGGGATCATGTCTTGTCCTGTAACAAAACAGAAAAACAATTTCTATTCCCTCTTTAGGATGAAATATGAGCCATATACTATAAACCATGAAATATGGATAATATAAATTATCCAAGTATTGTTTCAAAATAATTTTTCACAGCTGAGCACTTTACCTGAGCCTATTTTCTTATGAAATCAGCTTTAATTTTTTTGCTTTTTCCTCTCACAGACAAAACCATTTTTATTTTACTGTGAAGATAAATGAACAGAAAGCAGTAAGACTAGATAAAGCTGTTAGATTTTAACTCTCCATTTATTTCTCCACTTACTTCTACATCTTTCTCTGTATTATTTTATTCCCTATTTATTGAACATTCATTGAAAAACAGTTTGGTTGACATCCCAGAAGAGAAACTTTTTCATGAGCAACTTTATTTTTCATATATGATTGGAGAATAAATAATACTAGTCAGATTGCTTATATAAATATTTCCTTTACACCATATTTTGTTACTATTATGGCCCCCTAGTACTTTTCCACAGTTTCAGGAGTTTTTTCATTCCTTTCCTTAGTTCACCTCACTTTTTTTTTTTTTTCTTTTCCCTGCTGTTGACTCAAAATATTATGGTATTTAGTTTTGAAAAATAGCTGGTATGTGATGTTTGAAAAGTATGGAATGGGGCTGAGAAATATTTCTTTATTGTCTGAAAATATTTCTTCATGGTCTGACATTTTCCCAACAACAGTGTGGGAATAGCTACTTCTGGCATGCAGCTGAAGTTGGTATAGCAGAAAATAATATTCCTGTACCACCAGTATCTACCCAGAAGATTATTTTTTGCTGTATCAGCTGTAACATCAGGCATGAATGTGCCAGGGTTAAGCCAACACAGGAGCTTTTGGGAAGGTGAGATTCTGTCTCATTTCCCCATGAGTTTCAGGACCATTACTTAAATTTCATATGGGTTTTGCTTGCTAATTTTGTTTTGGGGTGGCTTTTTCACTTCAGGCAGACATGAAATGAATGTCTTATCTTCTCCAGAGCTGTGTTTTGAGTTATATCTCTTTTTGATAGCAACCCTGTGACTAACGGGAATCTTATTTTTTGATCAGAAGTTACAGCAAAATGGCATGTATGATTTAGGTGGATTTGGGGTCCTGTCACATATAATTTTATGCTTCACAAAACATTTACCTTACTATATTAGCAATGTGAACCTGAGATGAGTTTACTGAACAGCTTGCATTTACCCAATATGCTGATATAAACCACATTTCAATAGACTTTTGGGTAAAATTGTTACACAGAACTAAGTCTACTAGACTATCAAAATGTTTACTAGCCACACACTTGATGGCTGGTAGCATATTTTTATGAGCTTTCACAGATTTTTCTCTATTTGTCCTTTTATTCTCCCCCATCTCTGTTTTTTGTAGTATGCCCTTTTGTTAATGTATGAATTGCAAATATAAATCTTGCTTTCACTTGATATTTTATCAGGCAATTAATTGGGTCTTTTGAGAAAGCTGGGACGATTGTAGCATTGCAAATGAAAATTTACATAGTAAATTTTTTCTCAGCATTTAAAGCCTTGTGCAGGCAAATTAAACTAAGTTGCCAGTATTCTTTTTATACTTATATTCTGCTAAATCTACTGCAGAAATCACATCTGTTCTGCAAACTATAATCGTGAACTCATTCCTAAACATACTTTTATGAAGAAGATATATAAACATCTCAACATTTATCGAGGAAAGATAACACAGCATAATATATTTAACAGTGACTGGCAAAAATGTTTAAAGAAGCAAAACACATTCCATGACTAGATATCTATTTAATGTTTAGATAATTTGGAGAAAAGATAGAGGAATCTTCACTCTCTACTCCCACAGAAATTAAATAAATGCAATTTTAGTGCGTATATTACTGATTCTTTTGGGGTTAGTGCACATGTAAGGGTGATATGTAGAAACTCACAGAATTTTTACTAAGTATATCAGTAAGTAAGCAACCATAATTGTGTTTTCTCCCTAATGAAGTCAGTCCATTACAAAGGTATAACAAAGCTAAATCTCATCTCTAAGAATTTTTTCTTTGCCTGAAGGGTTTATGCTGGTTTCTGTGATTCTTTTTTTTTTTTTTTTTTTTTTTTTTAAGGATCATCTGTTTCAGCTGGAATCGCACAAATTTGAGAGAGGACGAGGCAGGTGCCCTTTTGACCCGAGTTCTTCCTTCACCTCCATCTTAATTGGTAATGACCTTTATGTCACAAGCTTCATGGTCCTGTCAATACATCATTCTGAGTCTTTCTCTTCAACACACCGAAGTGTTGCCAGTCTTCTATTGCAGCCTTCCACATGTTGGACTTAATCCTCATGGTGTTGTCCACATTAATATTACATCCCAGGCAGCATTAACTGCAGCAAGGGCATCTCACTGAAGTGAGTAGATGTTATATGACATGTGCCATCTTGAAGAGGTAATGGATTGTTGTGTGATTTTCGAAATAAGAATTTCCTGCTTTTCTTCAAAGCAAAGCAATATGTCTAGATTAATCTTTTCCACCACTGAAACAAATACACAAAATTATTATTTATCCACTGAGGTGTAATCTGAGCAACAAGCATCTTGTAAACATGTGAATTTAACTGTTGTTGGTTCGGTGTTTTTTTTCATCAAGCATTTATTGTTCATATACATTACAGCTTTTGAGGTCAAAATAGATTTTTTTCAATGCTGTCTTCTAACAAAACAATCCAAAACTGGTGATGCTTTGCTAGGAGAGTTTATCTTATACTCAACAGTTATAAAAATAGATTTCAAACTCCTGCAGTGCCAGAAAGCCATAATGAGAGGCATGCTCCTCTATGCCTTGCTGGTGAGCATATCAGCGTAGGGCTGGGACATTTCAACTTGTAGTATAGCAAACCATATGTTTTTTCCTTTGTAATGTTTTCCTGAAAACATTTTGTGATATCAAGCAAACACAGTCTTGACAGTATTATAGTACATTGTCTAAAAATAGACTGGAACAGCAGGTAAAGGATGAAAGCTAGATGCACTTAGGCAACAATTTCTGGTTTTAGAAAACAGAGCATTTGAAAGGTATAGCTGTTAAAAGAAAGCAGGATAACAAGAGGCTAAAATTCATATAAACATTCAACTTTTCAGGGATAAAAAATGTTAAAAGGATTTTAGGGCCCTTTTATGCTTACATTTGATTTCGTATTTTAAAATTAGACGGCTAAACTCTCTGATTAACAATTATAATGATAAAGCTCAACCACAGTGGTGAGGAAGTTTTGATCATGAGTGACAGATGTATTTTTACATGCTAGGTTTATGTTCCTTTACATTAACAAATTACTTACAAGAAAGATCCTCACAAGTAAAGTCAAATCTTTCAAATTGCAGAAAGTATTAAAACCATTGTTCATTTCCACTGAAAAAAATGCAGCTCAAATTCTTAAAAGTTAAGAAGGGTTAAGAAGTCATGAAAGAGTCCAATAAAAAAGATGCATTATGACTGACATTCCAAAATCCATGAAGCACAGATTGTCACGCTTTTCTTCCACCCTGATTTCTAAAGTGTTTCTACAGCTTTTAACAGATTCCAGTTTTAGCCTGGGAACAAAGACTCATCCCATGGAATTTGCTATAGGCGTGAAACCTCATGGTCTAATCTTGAAGCCCTTCTCAACCTTTCCTCATACAGAACTAAGTAAATAAATTAACCTGATCACGTTCCTACTGTGACATCAATGTGAATTTTATTTGCTTAAATGGAAGCCAGATTGTTCCACTGAGCACTTCAAGATTAATGGTTAGTCCTTGTGCTTCTGGCCTATACATTAGTTTACCTGTATTGTGGGAGGTCCTATGGATCATCACAATTTTATCTGAAAGAGAAATCCATAAGACCTTCCCTGATAAATGCTGATCAGAATCTTGGGCATCCACTGACAAAGAGTTATAAAATCAACCCAAAAAACTTAAAAATTTTGTAATGCAGCAAGATTAGCAAGAAAATAATATCATTTTGTGACAAAAAACCAAGAAATAATTTTACCCCTTCATCAAAACTAATATGAACTGAAAGGCCTCCATTGGGAATTCTATAATTTCAAGTGGTCATGGAATTGTATCTTAAAAGCATAACAGAATTCTTCAATCAGTTTATTATTTTATTAATGCTTTCATTTTTTTATACTACTGGAACTGAACACTTGCAACAGTTGATAAAATATCCTAAAATCTTTGTATTTCCATGTATTTTAAAATCTTCAGCAAACTTCTACTAACTAGAGCTTGCAGAATAAACAAAATTAATACTGCTTCTTAGACTCCAGAAGCTATACCCTTTATCTCTGTAGGCATCCATTTGAAAAGGGTGGAAGACATGGACAAAAATATGGTGAATATTAAGGAATCTTTTAATTAAAATTTGAAAATGAGACTGAAACTTCTAATGCCAAGTGCCCTCTGAAGGAAGGGATGGTCATTTATTCAGCTGAGCCCTGATTCCAGCTCATGGTGGCCACGACCCTATGCCAGGAGATAACAACTACACAAGGCACCCTCAAGGACTGTTTTTTCAGTGTTTCCTATGGTTCCTGGGTTTTCCGTTCTTCCTCATGCACTCCAATTTTCCGAAAGTGAAATCTCTCTAAGGAGCAGGCCATTAAAAGCTGCACCCTGGAGCTGCCTCCACTCTCCCATGTAGGTTCAGCCAACGCGTATATCCTTGACAAAGTTTTATGCAAAGCTGTTAGTAAAGGCTTTCATATCTCAGCTTCCTCTTCTTCCTAGCTAAACAATTCTAAACCTGCTTTCATCTCTGCAACTCCAATTAGCACAGCAGCCTACACCAGTGTGGCTATTGACCAACAGTAAAGATTAGACCAACAAGGAAATTTGACATAACTCTGATAAAAGTTTAAAAGCTTTTAAAATCTTGATCTTGAAAAAACATTTACCCCATCACTAATTAGAACCAGATTTAGCAAGATTAATTTAGGAAGAAAGAGAATTCCTTGTTCTGTATCTCTTCATGTATTTCAACACATCAGTTAAATACCCACTTCAAGAAAACAATAGTTCGTGACTTGGCTTTAAAATCAACTATCCATGCTGTCATAAGTTTTATTACAGGTTATCTGACCCAGTGGTAAAGTAGCTTGTGATGAATTCCTCAGTTTATGAACAATTAACTTCTAGCAATTTATTGTCAGCATCAGGAAACAGAATAGATGTTGGATGGCAGACAGGCTGAATAAAATGTGTGTGTTTAGATAAGAGGCATATAAAACTTTTGGACTTTTATTTCTAATGAACTTTCCCATCTGCTTTCAATAGCAAAAACTACTTTTGATATCAGATCATGCACACTGATTAATTTAGACCACACTAGTTCTTGAAAACTGAGAAATTAGTTTATGTCTATGTTTTGTTACCTGCAATATATCATAAGCAAATGGTGAAAAATCTAAACTACAATTGAATATGCTTTTCTATCCAGGGAAGCCACTCCAATATTTTATGGGTTTACAGTTTTAAAACAGTTTCATGTATTTGTGTTTTTTTCTTTTATTCCAGACAATGAACTAAAATAAATATATTTTCTCCTTAAACAGAAGACAGAATACTTGACTGACAGACAGAAAGTACAAATATACAGAGGAAATTTACCAGCTAAGCAGTAGCTAATTTCTTTTGAATTTGGTTTTTTCCTACCATGAAAGGTGTCGCTTGCGATAAATGTGAAATGGTATTCTGATTTTAGTTGTCAGTTAGTAATAACTGGATGACAGTCAAAGAAATGTATTAAAGGTGCTGCTTACGTTCTACTTATTGCACTCTGCTCCTTTATTCATAACATGAATTTTACATTTTAAACATATAAGGCTACTGATAAACAGTAGCTTATGTTTGCATTTCTTCCTAGTTTGAAGTAGGTACACAAAACACGCCAATAACGAATGAAGAAAACACACTTCTAAGGTGGAAGCAGCCTATTTTTTAAAAATCCTATGTATGTATTAAGTTTCTTAAATTAAATCTTATGTTCCAATCTGGTTTTCTTTAAGGGCCATCATTTAGGAATTCTTGCGTTTAAAAGAAGTTTGTATTCAGTTTTTGTTAATATTTTTTCTCTGAGAATAGGGCAAAAAACAAAGGTCTCTTTTAAGTTCTCCCATTGAACTTTGAAAGTATTTGTTTTCTTGAAAAGTGTGATAGCTAGAAAGTGCGAATGTATCACTTGAGCCACAACTGGGTTTTGAGGTCCATGGGATTTTTTGTTTCTAAAAATAAGGAAAGGAAAAAGATTTTATTCTTATTTCAGCAGGATCAACCAGGTTGTATTGAAACTTAAACTTTAGCAATTTATTTGTCAAACACATGTGAAGCTGAGATTACACTGGAAGAGGGTGGGAGTGAAGTTCTGCAAAATTACTCAGTTGATTTTCACTGGAAGAAACTGGTTTATCAGTGTGATGTGCAGTAGTATAAACCCTGCAACCAAGGCAGGAGTGAGTTGATGTGTAGTAATAGCTTTACAATGGAGGAGAGATGAGTGAAAATCTTGCCAGGATTTTTTAAACCTCAACCTCAGGGTGTCTCTAAAACTATAATTATTCAGCACCTGTAAAAACCTGCAGTTTTCAAAATTTGTAACTTGGATATAAGTTGTGTGCAGAAGTCAACTAAAGAGGGAAGGAGAAGATCCTTTTAATGTCAAAAGTGTAAAAGATCTCAGAATTATGTTGAATGCTCTTGGGCTGAAATCTTTGCTAGTCACAATCACCAGTATATTCTCATTGCTTTCCTTAGGTGAGGTGACCTGTCTGCTCACACCTGATACTTGTGTTCAGTTTAGTAACACTTCAGGGTAAAAATCAGGTTTCATTTCTGTATTCGTACAATCTCTTTCATGGAACAATATTCATTCAAGACTGGAACTTCAGTTTTTCTACCCCTAGGATCTCACAGATAAAATCAGTCAGAATTTCCCCAGTATATGGTAGAATGCCGTAGCAGCAGGTTGGCTAAGTGTACTAACATTTTAATACCTATGCCAAACAGAGGGAATAGGCTTCATATCCAAACTTCTGAACATCTGGAGTTATAGCTGATAATCCCGATCACCAGCTGTATGTGAATATATGAATCCTTTGAATCATTTACCCTGCACTGATGTATTTTCCAAGATTCTCTAGGGTGTTGAAAAGAAATAAGCACCACATTTTGTATTACACATCACCATAAATAAAAACAAAACCAGCCAGTCCTAGATATTTTTCCAATGGAATTCTTAAAGCAGGATTTATGACTAATGTAACTCATTAATCAGGCTTGTGAAGATTGTTTGGAGCATTATTCAGACACTGGAAAATCCTGTTGTTTAAGCAAATTGGTGTTGTTTAAGAAATAAAATCCGCTACTAGTTTTGAGTAATCTTAACTTCTACTGATGCTATAATTTATATTTCCTTTTAAAATCACTTGCCAGTATTTTACACCAAATCATGACCATGTATTTTATGAGGCGATATCCATTCTTCATATGGTGAAGTGCAAGGCAAAAATGCTCTGAATTCCAAATTAACAGAGGTTTCTGAACCAGCCCCAACTGCCAAAATATAAACTTTTCAGAATCATTTTTCAGGTTTATGGTACTGTTAAATTCATATATATCTCCTAAGAGAAACAGAATTCACACTTTGAGGAAGACCAGCATGAAAACCCTTAGTTTTTGCAATTATCCTGTATAATCAAATTTCCTGCCATAATCCCACCATCAAATGTAGTTTGAATGCATCAGTGGTGTTTTTTTTTTTAATTAGCAGGTAGGACCGTGTCACTGAAACCTCTGATCAGTTTAGCCACGAACTAGAGATCATCTTCCTTTTCTTATGCAGTTTAATTCCTTCCATGTTATTTTCTAGCATAAGAATGCCACCTAGTGACAGTAACTGTCAGCTTCTGAAACTGGGCCTAAAAGCTATAGCCTAAATCCACAAGGAAGTGAAATATCTTAATGCTTGGTCAGTTAAGGGCAAATGCACCATTCATAACTAAAAGGTAGATTTACTGCTGGTATTTCACTAAAGTAAAATACATCCAATATCACAATTTTAGATGGGTCAGATAGAGTGAATTTTTGAACACATGTATGATTTATTTGCACTCCACTACATACAGATTTTCAACAGTTATCGGCAATCATCACATTGTTCCTAATACTTTCCTATGCTTGCTTCGTTTGTGAATGCTATCTAAATCCTATGAAAATGGGACCCAATTTCTGTTCCTATAAAGTTTTCAGGAAATATTCATCACTGGTTGTGCAGGATGGATAACATCTCAGATCCTGTCCCTCCTGTGTCAAATATTTTAACGTATGAAAACAAGTTATTGTCAGATCAGAGTAAAACAAGCTCTTTTTCTCTGTCAACTGAACAACTAAGGTAGCAAGATGTATCCACACTGTAGTTAACTGTAACAGTTCCAGAGGGCTGACTGGAAAACTCCCTTGGCCTCATAAAACATGTCCTTGCTTATAGAAATCATTTCAAAAGCAGTAGGTTCTGCTTCTTATCTCTTCAGCTGGGGAGATAACTGCCTCCAGTATTTTCACCATGTGAAATTACTAATTAATATTTTTTTCAGCCATGTTTTGCACAGAGCCAAATCTGATAACTGTGCTCAGGAAACTCCCGTTTGAGGTCCACTCTGTGGATTCAGGTATAGTTTAGTTTTGAGCTGTATCCAAGCACCGTAGCCCAAATCAGTGGTTCAGTGAAACCATGACTATTCTTTTCCCTTGAACTGCATCCTCTGAAACCTGCTGTTGCATTTTCGTCCCATATTCTGGCTCATAAACCTAATATGTGTCTTCCAGTTCTGGAACCAAGGCATTTGTTTTTTCTCACTAGCAAGACCAGGACACATTTGGAAATGCTCAGAAGTAAAGCACTGGTCATAGTCCTTGCACTGGTGAAAACTTAGGTAGGTGTCTCTGGGGCTAGGCACTAACTGAATGACAGTGAGATCTTCGAACTTAAATGCCTGGTGTAGCAGAAGTTAACATGGCAGATACATTTAGATGTTAATTTAAGGGCTTCATGTATTGCGTGTGAATCTATCCTAAAGTCATTAAGTCAGTTCTGAAAATGAGGCTGAGCCCATAAATGAAAGTTAAAATTCTTGTCCTCATGCCATTCCAACAGTACTTGTTGCAGTGCTGCAACGCCCATATGCTCTTGGGATCCATACGTAACTTACTGATTTGCCTTACTCGAATTTGAACAAATTTTAATGTGCCATGTTTATAATGCAGTTTCTGTCCTAGGTAATGAAATTAATACATAGAGCATTACCAAATCGTTTTGTTTTTGTTCTTTAATGTATGGTCTGCAGGTGGTGAACTTTTTACTGGTCTCTACAGTGACTACTGGGGAAGAGATGCTGCTCTATTTCGCACCATGAACCGCATGGCTCATCTCCGAACAGAACCTGATAGTGAGCGCCTGTTGAAAGGTATGGGAAGGAATACTAAACAATTCCTGTTTAACCAGAAATTAAAAATATATTGTTCATGCATACATCCATCCATTTGGAGATTAAGTTGTTTAAACTATTTTTTTCACTACTTTTTCATGAACCCCCTGTCAGGACGATTATATTGAAATCTTTACCTTGATTACATTTTGGATTTAACAAATAGAACTTTTAAATCACTCATTTTTTACTTTTAACATTGCTTTTAATTTACACTCTGAATGTTCTATACTATTTTGTGATACACCTGATATAAGTAAAATGCTCTATTTAATTAATGGGAATTTCTCATTAGAACACACCATTCTTTTTTTTTTTTTTTTTTAGATGCGATCATTTCATCTTTATGTTGCAATTAAACAACTCAATCTTTACCAAATTGTGTTGTAAAGAGATGTCATGCAGTAACGTATAATAAAAAACGTACAATGATCATACAGTTAAATGAAGCAGAGTTAAACCAGGTAATTTTAGAGAAGAACATTTGAGTATTCCACAATAAAAATATCGAGAAAAATCATATGCTGGGAAATTTGGAAATTGTTTCATACTCTTCAATATGAGATGTCATTGAATTTCAAAGTTTCTGTGAAACGGAGAATCAGAATCTTAATTTGTTTTGCTCCAAACATATTGCAATATTTCATCAAATTTCACAGCAGTTTTCTCCCAAATCAGAAGAGAGAAAATAGTTCTTCTGGACACTTCTTCCTACATGAATCTCACTTAAGACTTGACTTAAACACTTTTTTAAAAGACAGTTTAAGTCCAATACATAGTTTGTTCCTGAAATGAGCGTTCTAACTGGGTATATAAAAGACTGGGGTAACAACAATCACGTGGATATCCACAATATACAAATGAAGTTTGCCTTCTCTTCCATCTGGAATTTTTCTTTATTTTAAAGAGAGAATTTTCTAAATTATTGCCTCAGACTTTGCTTTTCATTTTGTTTATACCTGAAATTTTAATTTGCAGAAAGGAAATATTTTAAAATGTGTATTTTAAAAAATCAGAAAATTAGCAAGAACAGTATCAGTGTCTTAAAATGAAACTACTGTTTTCACACAGAACAGGAAGTTAGAAAATACTTACATCACCCACTGCTTTTTAAGATATACTATGTGTGACTGAAATACTCATTTAAAGAACTTGTAAAATCTTAGCTACAACTCGGTGTGATGAAATCATTCACAGATCTGCTTGATGTGGAGTTAAAAGGTATACAGGCATAGACTGAAGTCTGAAGTTTCAACTTTGCAGCAAAATGTTGAATCAGGAAAAATTTGGAAGGCCTTTATTTCATGACAAATATACACAATGCACCTTCTATCCTTGAAAATGTATGTTCATATATCATCTTTTAGCTGAACTACCAGAGCTTTTTCTTTATCTAAAAGGGTTTTCATCTGAAGTTGAAATTCCTGCACTGGGTTTATATGGGATCAGAGATTGTTATGTGAATAATAGTGCCAGGTTTTAACCTAAGCCAAATAAAAATATATAAACCCTGGAGAACTGGACTGAAAGAAGGTTTTCTTTCTTGCATGCATACGAAGGAATATTGATTTGCGTATTGGAGCAATGAGAGGTTTTACATTAATGTATTCCACGTGGTCTATAGATACTCACCCAGAAAATAATAGATATTTTTTTCCCTATTTTTATCACCCTATACCATCAGGTATCTCTTTGACTGACAAATCCCTGAATTTTTAATTTTACTTTTTACTTTGCTGCCTGCTGATTTTAAGAACTGAAATCTGTAAGCGATTATTTTAATAAACTTGGTTCTGATTTTTTTTTGTTTTTTTTTTTATAGAACCAAAATTTGTTGGCTCATACATGATTCCTGACAATGAAGACCATGATGACAACAAAGTGTATTTCTTCTTTACTGAAAAAGCATTGGAGGCTGAGACAAGTGCTCATGCCATATATACCAGAGTGGGACGTGTATGTGCGGTAAGGTCCTTCTTCTGATTCCCCAGCTAAATCAAAAACAAGCAAGCTTCTTTCTTTGGTCCTTCTTCCCCAGGAAAATATGGCATCTATTATGGGTGTGAGAGTAAGCTATAGGTCTGAATGAAAATACTACCTCTAAACAGCCTCAAGCATTAGAAAATTCAAAAGTGATCTGAAATCTGGGCTTGAAACTGAATTTTGCTGAAAGAGGAGGGCAAACTTCAGAAAATCTGTCATTCAGTTCTATATCTCTCTATGCTGATATGTGGTAGCAGTTGCTCACCGGACTCTCTTACCATCCATATTCTCAATTCAAATCAAGGGTCCAGGGTCTCTTGCAGCTCCCACAGCTGACATACACTGTCATCCCCTCACATTCCTGGTAACAGGACAAGGCCAGCCACTAGTCCCCTCCGACATTCCCTCTTGCCTTCTTATTCTTTCAGCAAGAGGCAGACTTAACTGACCTCCATTTGTGCAGGGCCAATGGCTGTCCCAACAGAAAGCTGAATAGGACAAGAGACAATGGGCACAGGTTGGAACACATGAAATTCTGTATGAATGTAAGAAAACATGTTTTTTATTTGAGCGTGGTTGAATACTGTCAGAGGTTGCCCAGAATCTCCATCCTTGGAGATATTTAAAACGTCACTGGACATGGCCCTGAGCAATTTGCTGCACAACTTGCTCAAAGCAATTTGGTTTGAGCAGGTCAATTGGACTAGATGATCTTCAAAAGTCCCTGCCAAATTCAACTATCCTGTGATTCTGTAAATTAAAACAAAAAAACTATTTGTGATATATAAATGATAGAAAGAGTGCAACGTCAATCATCTATAGAGTGCTTTATAAATAGTAGCTGATTAATTTTTAATTTCATGTCTCATTTATCCTCTTCTCAACATCGATTAGGGAAAATTGTGCAGGTAGGAACTAGAATAAAGGATTGACCTGTCCAGCAAATTAGGTTTCCCGGAAGAAGCAGAAAACTCATGACGAAAGACTGATTCCTTCCACTGCACTGCACGATTGTCCATTCCCCACTCAGACCACACTCCTCGTATGTTGATCCCATCTTTTTTTGGCTCCCTAGGCCAGCATCTCAGAGGAAGAACTCAGTTGATGAAGATGAGTACTTTTAACATATGGTCTCCCAGATCAAGCTGCTCATAACTGGTCCTCTCTGAACAACTAATGAAGTTCGGGTGCATTCCTTTCTTTTTTTACTGAACTGTAGTAAGGCTGATGAGAGGAGCCCTCCCATTCCCACTGGGACCACTTCTGCTTGATTAAAAGAAGGAATGAGTTTATTTCTTAGCATCTGATTTTGTTTCTAAAAAAAATTGCATTCCCCCTCCTAACTGTAGGGGATTCATTACTTAAACTACTGGGTAAAGTGCAAGATTCAAGTTAAAAATCTTCTGTCACCTCAATGTATGGTATATGTCACATATGCTCACAAGTATATTACCCATTAACATTTCTTAAGGAGTGCTCATGTGTAACTTAAAACATCTGATGTATACGAAGTACCAAATTTCAGCCTAAGACATTAATGTCCACAAAGCCAGTTGGCTTTCTGAATTCAAGCCTGCATTAAGATCTGAAGAAGAATTCTTTGGTCTATGTTCAGGTAGATGCCTGAATAGATTATTTTAATAGTTCACTCTAGTCTGAAATATATCCACCTGAACGTCTTATCTCTAGCCATGGGTTAAACCAAAAGCCTACAGACCTTTCCAATCCACTTGTCCAAAACTCCAAATATTCTATCCTCTGGACATTAACTTCACAGCTGTATGCTATAATTCAGATTTGATTTAATGAATACAAAAAGAAAATAGCTAGTTGGTGATTCAAGAACTGACTTTTTTTCCAGTTTTTACATTTTTAATCTAAGCTGTAAGAGGTTTTGTAACACAGAGGCAACTACACCATATATTTCTGCTTTTCTGAGGAAAACAAAGTTCTGTTTCTGTGAGAGATCAGTGTGAAGCTGAGGAAATCAATTAATTTCAGCAGTTTAGAATTAAGTTGTCAGAGGGGTTTTGCAAGTCTAATACAAAGCCTTCAACAATCAGTTACACAGCCTACCTGAATACAAGGCCATAGCTTTGAGGATGCTGCCCAGAAGTTACAGAACCTGATTTATGATTGGTACTAAATACCCTATTCTCCTAACAGTCCAAGAGACACAATAACAAGAAAAAGATGAGACAGCCATAACAAAGCAGGAATCATTTAATGTTATTGAGAAATTCTTACAACACCATGTAGGCAATTGCCCCAGCTGTACCAGCTCTATAGATAGATTCAAGGCTTCAGTTTCCAAACATGTTTATCTAACCCTGCACTGAGCTCCTAACACAATGCTAAACTTTGCCAAAGTACTCAGTAAATCCAGCTAACAAAAAAAAAAAAAGAAAAAAAAAAGAGAGAAATAAAAAAGCTTTACAACAGCTGCATAGTTAAAACTACACACGGATGTGGTACAGAATTAAAAAATTCTTCTAAACCCACAGCTCTTAATGAGACCTGGAGTTGATCAGTGCAATCTTGCTTGGAAACTGACTCCAGAGAAAGTATACTAGTAATAGACATGTGGTTTGAAAACGCACGCTTTTGACATTAAAAGATACAATGAGTGGCTAATTCAGCAGAGATGTTTGTGCTTCTAGACTTACTCACTCAAATTACCATCAGTATTTGTTTCTCTTTACACAGAATGATATGGGAGGCCAGCGAATGCTCGTGAATAAATGGAGCACCTTTCTCAAAACCAGGCTAGTTTGCTCTGTGCCTGGGAGAAATGGAATTGATACACATTTTGATGAATTGGGTAAATATCATAGGCTGCAATAAACTTAAAACCATCATAAAAAAACACACACTTTCATAATAACACATATGACTGTCAAAAATTGTATTTTTATTCATTGACAGGGAATGGTTGTTAAGGTTTTGTTTCCAGTTCATATGATATTCTATATATATGGAATTGACTATCATCAATTGTGCCTTTACGTATTGCATTGTTTATAAAGTTTGCTTTTAAATCTGCATAAAATTAAGTAGCATATACAAGTAAAATAGGATTACACTTTTAACAAACAATGAACTTTTTCTTTTGGGGGCTGAGAAAAGTAATCTGCTACCATTTACTTTGAGTTTAAATTTTTCAGAGGATGTTTTTCTGCTGCAAACTCGAGATAACAAAAATCCAGTGATATTTGGCCTCTTCAACACTACAAGGTAAATAGCTGGAAGAAATAATAGCAACCACAGATTAATGTTTGAACAACCTATTGAAGAAAGAGAAGCTGCATGATAAATATCGCTTAGTAAATATATAGTAAACAGTTTAATCCCTGTTATATTCACAGCAGTCTTCCTTGCTAATGTAAAAACTACTCTGTGAAACTCAGGAGCTTGAAGTCTTATTCAGTGATCCATTCTATGTGGATCACAAATTAATTAAATGTTTCTCTGCTCGAAAATTTCCTGGTGTCAAAGTATATACACTCCTACGTGCTTATCACAGCAGCTTATCAAAGCGAATTGTCTTACTTTAAGAGCTTCACTGTAATTCAAGTTTAAGTAGATAAAGCTTAAATTCCTAGTAACTTCCTAGTGAAGCTTAGGCACTGCAGCCCAGTTCAAGTGCAAGCATGCAGTACCAGTTTTTTGGAGATCCAACTGTTTTTTCAGGATGTAAATGGTAGAGCAGCTGTGCTTTTACCACTATCTCACTCTCCTGACTTATTTTTTCTGGAATAAAGTGAAGCCAGTCTGGTTCTTTAAAGGTGCAGGCACTTAGAATGTCCTACTGGCTCCCTAGCCCAGCACAGAAGGGCAGGCACCTAATAAAAATGTTCTGGATCACCTTCTGAAGTCTTCAGGGGTGATTTCATTATAGAGAGCACTAATGTTTCTTAAAAAACAAACAAACAAACAAAAAACAATACCCCCCCCCCCAAACCCCTGAATCGCTTCTGTGCAATAAAATGAATACAATTTATGAGTAAATTTTATGTGGATTGATCTACATAGAGTGATCTTGATGACTTAATAACATCAACCAACATTCCCATTCAGAATAAAAAGACTCCTGTTCATTTCAGTCAGCAGTGGTTGATTTCCATATTTCCACAATAAGGCAACAACGAATAACAAGAAAAATCTTAGAGAAAAAAAAAAAGGTTAACTGTTTAAGTCACTAATCAAAGATGTATAAGACCTGGATTCAGTTCCCTGCACTTTGTGATTGTAAAGACATGATTTAGAGCCTTTGTTCACCATTTTTCATTTTTGGGGTTAGAACACAGAGCATCCTTAAAGAAATATTATAAATATAAATATAAATATAAATAAATATAAATATAAATATAAATATAAATATAAATATAAATATAAATATATTAAAGACTTTGTAAAGAATAATGAACACAGCAGTTACAAGAAAAGCATATAAGAAAAACAAGTAGTGTTTTTCTCCCTGAATACTGTTGAAATGGGACTTATTTTTAACTACATAATAATACCAGTATTATATGTATAGAATCTGACATACCGCTTTAATAATGTCTTTGAATTTTACTTCATAGCAATATATTTAGAGGATATGCTATATGTGTTTACCACATGGCAAGTGTCCGAGCAGCTTTCAATGGACCATATGCTCATAAAGAAGGACCTGAATACCACTGGGCTCTATATGAAAGAAAAGTACCTTATCCTAGACCTGGTTCTGTAAGTACAATCTATTTTCCATCACTTTGCTGTGTAAATGAACATGGGAAGGGAAAGCAAGCTGCTGCTAATGTAGAGATCTTCCTGACTTCACAGTCAGGGTATGTTTATTTGAACATTTACATATTCTGCATTTCTGGAAAATCGTGGAATGGTTCAGCAAAAAGTTTAATCGAGTACCAGATGCACACCTTTCCCAAAGGAAAATTGTGGAATTGTTTATATAGGGTTTTTCAAAATCCTGCTGGAACTTGAATTTAACAACCTCGTGTCTAGGTCCAAAGGTCCCACAGCTAGGACCCTAGGCAATAGGGGCAGAAAGAGGCATCCCTGGAAGATGGGTCTGAAGCTGCATTCAGAAACATTAAGCGCGTTACCTGGGAAGGCGCCTGTCCTGGGTTTAGCAGGACAGCGCCTCACTTTCTATTGAGTCTAAAATAACTGTTCTAAATTTGGCTGCTGACATATTTTTTGCATCTGACTCTTGATAACTTTAACTGCTAAAAGAAATAAATGAAAAGTCAAATTTATTAAAGGGCATTGAGTAACCATGGAGGTTTTTTCCTAATGGAAATTTCTGGAGAACAATAAAGAAAATAAAGAGAAAATAAAGCCAGGATGAACTAGAAACATGTACATATATTTACATTGAAAAAAAATACATATTTAAGATACATGCACTATTTTCCAATGTAAATAAGATCATTACTGGAAAAAAACAAGCTTACTCAAACCAATTCACTTATTTTTTATTGCTGCTGAAACTAGGGCATTTAACAAGTGTTAAGGGAAATAAAAAAAAAATTAAAAGATGCTCCACTATTTCAATATCAGGTGGTTCTGGTTCCTTTTTTTAATCTTTTTCAAAAAGGATCAAATTTTAATATTGTCATAATTTAGATTGATGTACAGGTTAGAAAGGAGACACAGATTTTTTTAAAATAACTAATCTGAATAAATACATTTCTAGTCAAGAAATAAGTCCTCCACCACCCAAGGTCCTTCTCTCATATAGGTTCTTTCTAGAAGCAACGGAACGGCTTCCTCACAATGCATTGCTTTGCTTTCAGACATCACAGAGTGATATTTTATTACCCTCAAATAGGGTTCCTGAACTTTTTAACATTCTTGTAGTGTACCATTTACAAAGTATGTAGAAACATTAAAACAATGTTGCAAAGAACCAAACTCAGCAAAATCACTCATGCTTTTAATTAATTTTCACACAAGTTTCTTTACAAGCTTCCTTTTCTTGCAATGGACTTTAAATGAAGGAATGAAACAAGATGTATCTTGAAATTTGAATTAATCTGGCAACTGCTTAGCAGCCATACAATTGCTGCAGTGAGTTGCTCCTGCAAATTGTTAGATTTTTCATTTGGCAAATAGAAATTTTGGAGGAAAAATTAAACTCGTTACTTAGAGACAAGTAATTAATTTCTACAAGGAATTCCTAATTTCTAGTGGATTTCTCAAAGGTATTACAAGTAATCATCTCAAACCCTTTTCCATTTCACTCTTGTTTTAGATGTTTCTGAATTTTCCATTTCTGTAGTATATGAGCCCACAAGTCTCAACCCAAGTCTGGGGGGTGAGGAGAGCAGCCCTATGTTCTGCACCACTTGAGAGAGTTCCCTTTGCATTGCAGGGCCCCATCAGCATCTCACAGAAAAGGCACAACGGGGGCTTTCCTCACCTTTCCTTTCCTGGCTCCTATGACTGGAGTGTTGAAATGGAAGGTTACAGACTCTTTAGAAAGGACAGGCCTGGCATGCGTGGAGGGGGAGTTGCTCTATGTTAGGGATAGGCTGGAGTGTATGGAACACTGTCTCGGGACAGGTGAGCAGATAACAGAGAGCTTGTGGGTCAGGGTTAAAGGGAAAACAGCGATGGGAGACATTACTGTGGGGATATGTTATAGAACACCTGGTCAAGAGGAATCTGCGAATGAAGCACTCTATAGGCAGATAGGAAAAGCCTCACGGTCACAGGCCCCCATTCTCATGGGTGACTTCAACCACTGTCCATCATATTTGAAAGATCATGGCAGTCAGGTGAAGTTCCAAATGACTGGAAAAAGGGAAATATAACCCCCATTTTCAAGAAGGGGAAAATAGATGACCTGGGGAATTACAGACCAGTCAGTCTCACCTCTGTGCCTGGCAAAATCTTGGAGCAGATTCTCCTGGAAGGCATGCTAAGGCACATGAAAAACAACAAGGTGCTTGGTGACAGCCAGCATGGCTTCACTAAGGGGAAATCCTGCCTGACCAATTTGGTGGCCTTCTATGATGGGGTTACAGAACTGATGGACAGCGGTAAAGCAGTTGATGTCATCTACCTGGACTTGTGTAAAGTGTGTGACACTGTCCCACATGACATCCTTGTCTCCAAATTGGAGAGACATCAATTTGTTGGATGAACCACCCGGTGGATAAAGAACTGGCTGGATGGCCGCACACAAAGAGTTGTGGTCAACGGCTCAATGTCCGCCTGGAGACCTGTAACGAGTGGTGTCCCTCAGGGATCGGTGTTGGGACCGGTCTTGTTCAACATCTTTGTTGGTGACATGGACAGTGGGATTGAGTGCGCCCTCAGCAAGTTTGCCAATGACACCAAGCTGTGTGGTTCAGTTGATACACTGGAGGAAAGGAATGCCATCCAGAGGGACCTTGACAGGCTTGTGAGGTCAGCTGATGCCAACCTCATGAATTTTAACCATGACAATTGCAGGGTCCTACCCGTGGGTTGGAGCAATCCCAGACACAGGTACAGGCTGGGCAGAGAAGAGATTCAGAGCAGCCCTGCAGAGAAGGACTTGGGGGTGCTGGTCGATGAGAAAATGAACATGAGCCAGCAGTGTGCACTTGCAGCCCAGAAAGCCAACCGTATCCTGGGCTGCATCAAAAGGAGCGTGACCAGCAGGTAGAAGGAGGTGATCCTGCCCCTTTACTCTGCTCTTCTGAGACTTCACTTGGAGTATTGTGTGCAGTTCTGGTGTCCTCAACATAAAAAAAGGTCATGCAACTGTTGGAAGAAGTCCAGAGAAGGGCCACGAGGATGATCAGGGGACTGGAGAACCTCCCATATGAAGATAGCCTTAGAAAGTTGGGGCTCTTCAGCCTGGAGAAGAGACGATTCTGCGTGAAGACCTCATAGCAGCCTTCCAGTATCTGAAGGGGGTCTATAGGGTTGCTGGGGAGGGACTCTTCATTAGGGACTGTAGTGGTAGGACAAGGGGTAATGGGTTAAAACTTAAACAGGGGAAGTTTAGATTGGATATAAGGAGGAAATTCTTTCCTGTTAGGGTGGTGAGGCAGTGGAATGGGTTGCCCAAGGAGGTTGTGAATGCTCCATCCCTGACAGCGTTCAAGGCCAGGTTGGACGAGGCCTTGGGTAATATGGTTTAGAGCAAGGTGTCCCTGCCTATGGCAGGGGGGTTGGAACTTGATGATCTTAAGGTCCTTTCCAACTCTTAACTATTCTATGATTCTATGATTCTGTGATTTTATTTAGTTAAAAATGAAAACCCTGTGAGAGATTATTTTTATTAAATATCTCCACGGCTAGAACTTTACAAAGGCAACCTGGCAACGACTATTCACTTTTTATGCTGTGCAGTGCATGGCAAGCGGAGTCTTAGCCTGTGTTCATGCTCCTAGCTCTGTCTCCTTATTGCAAACAGCCAGTGAAATTCCATCACTAGGTTGATTAAACAATTACTTTAAAGTCAACATTGAACAAATACTTTCCTGTAGCTAAGCCCCAAAAGTGGAAACAAACATTACCCGGCTTGACAAGTGCGGGAGTCCGTTATTGTCAATTACAGCTGACCACAAGTTTAAAATTACTGTTTCTAGTAAACATAAAGACTATTTTATTTCACTTTATTGATTGAAAAATCCAATTTAAATAGGGAAAGGATGCTACTGTAGCTTTCCTTGAAATGTTTCTTAAAACCACACTGTCTTACGAATATTTGGAGAAAGTAAATGGTTATTGAAATACTTCCAAGTTGATCATGAACGGTTTCAATTAGACATCATGAAGCAAATTGGAAATGTAGAATCTATTTTCAGTTACGGAACACTATATCCTTCACAAAACATTCTAAAATGAACTTCTCTGTTTAATGCATTAAATTATCCCTAATTGCACATTTGGCTGAAGGAGTAAGCCTCTTTTAGTCAATCATTGATGTAAAGTCTATTCGCTTTCAAAACCGGTAGATTGATCAATACAAACATTGGTATTTCAAGCTAAACTGTGATATATAATACTGTCCTCATGAGTTAGGAATTAGAATCAAATGTAATACTGCTAGAATACCTGAAATCAAGGATTACTCTTGCCACTGGCATAATTTTTATGTGTGCTTCGCTTTTTATGGCAATACATTTTGCAAACAAAAGTAATAAGACTAGAGATAGATGTCAAGCATTGGTGTTCTGCTAATTTTGCATGGTTGCGTCTCTACCTTTCTCCTATGTGCCAGTGGCCATTTTGATTACATCTTCGATATGAATTTGGGGAAGGCACTATTTTTTGTCAAAACCCAAAAGTGTCACTATTTACTCTTCTCTTAGAATGCCAGAGAGGAAGGAGCTACTTCTTTCTAAAACCTGCAATGCAAGGCTCAGTTCAACTTTCATTTTCTGGGCTTCTCACAATTAATAATTTACACATGTAAAAGCATAGAGTTCACTGTCCCAGTTCTTACTGTACCTTAGTGCTAAGTTTTCTGTAGACTTGTCATCACCCCTAACAACACGAGCTGTCTCTTGACAATTTATTTAACAAAACTTCAGGATAATCTATGCTTTATGTTTCTGCAGTGTGCCAGCAAGGTGAATGGTGGTCTGTACACTACCACCAAAGACTACCCTGATGAAGCCATCCATTTTGCCAGGAGTCATCCACTGATGTATCAGCCCATCAAGCCTGTTCATAAGAGACCAATATTAGTTAAAACAGATGGAAAGTACAACCTTAAACAAATTGCAGTGGACAGAGTGGAAGCTGAAGATGGGCAATATGATGTCTTGTTCATTGGTACAGGTAAATTAAAGAAAGCGAGGGGGATGATTTAACGCGGGGGGGGGGGGGGGGGGGGGGGTACCTGCAGGATGAATGGAATTAATTTCTGCATAGTCTAAAAAAAAGAAAAAATCAACACAACATTCCTTTTTAACAGTCATTCTTAACATGAGTTCTCCAGTCTTTGACTTACAGAGCAGGTTAGTCATTCTAGACACGTGCTTCCCTGTCCTGATAACATTATACAGAAAACTAGTGGTAGGGGAAACATTTAAAGGCTAAGAAAAGAAACTCAGATATAAGATTCTTTTTTCTTTCTTTCTCCTTCCTTCCCTCCTTCCTTCCTTTCCTTCCTTTCTTTCCTTCCTTCTTTCCTTTCCTTTCTTCCTTTCCTTCCTTCCTTCCTTTCCTTCTTTCCTTTCCTTGCTTCCTTCCTTTCCTTCCTTTCCTTCCTCCCTCCCTCCCTCCCTCCCTCCCTCCCTTCCTTCCTTCCTTCCTTCCTTCCTTCCTTCCTTCCTTCCTTTCCAAACAAGAACCTCAAATTAAACTCCTGAACAATTGTCATTATTTTTAAAAATTCAGAACATAATCGTATCAATTTCTGAGCTGAGACTGGAGACCTGAGAGAAACAAAGTGGATTAATATGATTTTCAAAAAAATCAGATCAAGTTACTGCCTTTATTCCACAGTTTATTTTCCCAAGTTCTAGAGACCACAAGTCTAGCTGATACTGCTAAAAAGAAACTGCCAGCTTCCAGATTTGGGTTATAACACAGCGTAAGGAAGGAAGGAGGAAATACCCAAGTTTCTTAAAAAGATACTGTTAGAAGTTTTCTACGAAGTTTTCTTGTTCTTTTGTTCCATTTTCATATGTTACAGACATACAGTTTCATAAGATAGAGAGAGCTTGTTTAAAGAGGATTTGTAAATATCGAGCAAAAAATATGGTTAAGGTAAAATAGTTTACAGTATTGTAGACCTGCACTAACTCTAAGCAACCAGAGAGAAACATATGCTAATGGTATTTGAAAAATAAGAAAACTGAAGAAAATAGGAGAAAAGCTTGGAACTAAATAAGACTTTAGTCACATCTAATCCATCTGGAAAAAATCCAAGGATTCATCCATTCACATTTTAACAATTTAACAACAGGAGTGGTATCACAAATCATTTTGACCATTTTGTCTAGGAAAGCAGTTACAGTGAATTATTTTTTACAAATGAAATTCCTCTGATAAGCACATTTCTGTGTTGAGAACACTCAAAAGAAGCATGTTTGTACAACAGCAAAGGCTTATTTATACTAGTGCTGATTTCTATGGTTTTAAATGGCCTCAGTATGGTTTTGGTATTGGACTTAGTGTTGTCTATAAAACATTGTGCCATGTGCCACTTATTTCTGTACAGCAGGTTGTATAATGGTGACTAGATTTTCTCATATTTTCCATTTAAATTTATGATTGAGATACTGTATCAAGTACCCTTGTACACAAATCCTCTGTTCAGCAAAGCTGAATCCAAAGGGACTTAAGTGTGTGTGTTAGAGCTGTGCTGAGTGGCACCCAACAGCTGTTTAGTCTTCTTGAGATGTCTAATCTCAGGTGACAGGAAATTCCAGCATAGGAATTTGGGCTTTAGAAACTCTGAAACAAACCCTTCAATCTCTGCTCTGGCAAAACCCCCATCAAACAATGCACTGCTTCTCTTGGCATTATAATGTTAGAAAGGGTTAATCTTTTTTTATCCAAGTCCAACACCTGCTGTGTAACATAAGCAAACAGGGTCTTGCAGCTGAGCACGAGTTTCCTTAGGGTAGCAGTGTAGGTTAGAAAAGTGCATAAAGGCAAATTCTAAATGTCAGGGCTTTCACGTGTGTCAGCAGGATTTGAAGAGGGACTTACTTATGAAAATCAGATCTCAGAATGCAATTTATTTTTACTGTTCTATCACAAAATGAATGCCTTTGATTATATATTCTGTTTGAGAACTGGTGTATGACCCCAGCTTAATGGCTCCTCTTTATATTTGCCCCTTTGATCTTTTGCTGAACATTTTTCCCAGTGCTTGTCTGCTTAATATTTCCTCTGTAAATCAAAGGTGACTGAAAGCAACAGAAGAAAGGAAGTGATATTTGCCATTGTTGATGACAGATTTTCAAATTAAGGAAAGCAAGACTATTTTAGCAATAGCAAGAAAAAGTTGAAGAGGTAGAAGACCAGATGCTATTAGTGTGTTTTAATTTCCTGCAAGAGTTATCATGACAGAAAAGCAGATAAATCTAAACTCCAATATGCCTTAGAATTTTTTGAATGTGCGAGTTTTTCGGTTCATCTTCCTTTGATTAACAAACACCTTCAGCTCAACAGCAGCTCAGTTTCCCCAGTGGAGGGGAAGAACTGGGGACAATGAACCCCTGAAGGTTTTTGTACTCCTGCTTGGAGCAACGGAGCTGCTGCCAGTAATTAAGGATAGTTAGTAGTTTCCCAGCTAGTGTAAACAATCTGATCCTATAATTAAAGATACTTTACACTCCCTGGCCTTGATTATCTCAGCTCCTGCCTACTCTCATTTCTCTTCTTGAAATACGGTCACCCTTTCTGCAGCTCACCAAGGAGTTATGACCCATAGTTTGAAAAATACACGTGAATTAGTTATATAGCTAAGGGATATCTCAGTTGACTTGTATTTGCCAGGGACAAATTGTCATGTGTCTATTTTCTAAGAGTAAGAATCCTCATCACTAACCACAAGATTCAACTAATGGTACACATTTGTAAATTTATAGCCATTATCAATTTGAAAAAGTCTTTTAGTATATTTGAAACCATATAAATGTTTTGACCAATTATAAGCTTTAGTTTTGGTTTGCTTTGTTTTTCTTTTTTTCTTCACCCATTCTCAGATAATGGAATTGTGCTGAAAGTTATTACAATTTATAATCAAGAGACAGAATCAATGGAAGAAGTGATTCTTGAAGAGCTGCAAGTATTCAAGGTGAAATGTGCTGTATATGAATCATATATGCAAGTCTTGAATTTTCTGTGGAAATAAATGTCTAAATATAACTGAGGATAGCGAAATATATAATAGTTGTGTGCAGGAAAATTTCTAATGATCCAGTTATTTTATGACAGGAAATCTCTGTTTTCAACTAAAGTTTTTCAATACATTCATACTGCCTATTGCAACTTTTAATCAGAAACTTGATGCATTTAATTCAGTTTTCTCTCATATCCAAGTAAGTATTTAAATAAGTACAGAATGTGTATTACATGTACAAAAATGTGCCTACTGCAGTCTTGAAAGCTTAAAATGAAGTCCAGATTAAAAAAAAAAAAAAGCCTAATCCTCAGAAAGAGTTAATCAGTCAATCTGTCTTTACAGTAGGCAAACCTGAGATCTAGTGAGGCAAAACTCTGTTCTGTTTAAGAATACTCCATATATAAAGTTCCGTATTAAACGTGGCAAAGCTAATATAATGAAATTCTCTTAGAAAGTATTCACATCCTGCCATATTAGCCACACAGGTAAGGTAGGAGACTAATATCCAAACTTAGATATTCAAATCTGGCACCTGTATTTAGGCAGTGTAATCAAAAACTTGTTGCCTGAAAAAAAAAAAAAATCACAGAAATTGCCCCTCTTGATAAAGCTGGTTTTCAATAGACCTACTGGGGGCTATGTTTTGCCATTGTTCTAGGAAGTATGAGTAGAGGTCAGAGAGGACAATGCTAAAAGAAGGAATTCCTGCTATTTTTATCTTATCTTCAATGAATGTTTTCTTATAAAGACACTCCACTTATCACTTTCAAGTAGGACAAAAGAGATTCAGTGGTGGCAAGAACTAATACCATGTTTGACAGCAAAATTGTAGGGCTCCTGTGGCTCCAATAATCCTGAATTAAGTGTCGGCTTGTTATCTTTAAATAAGGTCTTTAAAAGCAATACAGTCACAATTTCCTCTTTCTGTAGCATCAGAACTTAAAGAGAAGTAACGTATCTAGCAAAGCTGGTATAACAAGTAAACATCAACACTAATTTACCTACTTTCTTGTCATAGAAAAAAGACACTATTTTTTTCTGAGCAAGGAATATTTCCTATTTTCTAGGTGCCAGCTCCTATTATTTCTATGGAAATTTCTTCAAAAAGGGTAAGTATTTGACAAGTTTGAAATGTGAAGATTGTGACGCAAATGTAAGTAAACTAGAAGCTGTATAGATAGACAGATGTGCATCATATATTATGAGATCTTTTCTGATACATGCAATCCTTTTTAAATATAAAGTGATAACTATGGTCTCTGTTCTTTTATGAATCATTTATATTTTTCAACTCTAATGTTAAATCCCCTTACTTCACATGATCATGCTTATCAAAGGAAGTAAAACCCAGCCTGTTTCAGGAGTTACTGGCATATTAATCACAGTGGGGACTAGCTTGGTGGATATGGCAGCTCACAGAAAAGTTCCTTGCTGGTAAATGCAGACAGACTTCAGCCCCACAAGAATATCGGTGCAAAAAGAGCCTTGCTGGCTCTCCCACGTACTCAGCTGCCCATGAAAGGCAGGGGTTTGGATCTGACTCCCTTTTGTTTTTCTGCTAGTTTCTGCTAATATAAACACTCACTTTATTATTCTTGTATGTAGATTCTCATCTGTACCATATTATCATATCATCTCAGGATGAAGCCATTATAAACATATGATCTTAATAGATCTTAGACATCTGGTGCAACATAGGTGAACATAAACATAGTGAAACACAAGTAACAAAGAATGAAAATTGCATTAATAGGAGGTGTGAGTGTGCCCAAAAAGATCATTTTAGTATTGATGTCTATCAACCTGCATTGTTTCTGTAGCTAATGCAGGAAGACAAACTCCTCTGATGGTGACTTAAGGGAGGATCTTAGGTGTAAATGTCCTGGATCAATCTATTTTTTCCCACTGACTGTGAAAGCAACTTTGGAGACTAGATTGTCTAAAACTGCACCTAAATGATTATTTAGAGAAAGATATTTGCATTACCTTTAGCTACCAGTGAAATGTCATGCTAAAAGGGTTGTGTTGGAAGAGTAAAGAGGTGTTACTGTATAAAAAAGAAAGTAGTCTTTCACCATTAGATCCTGCTCCCGAGACGGCTGCTAACTTTTCTAATTCAAGTGTCTGGAAGATCTGAAGAGAATTGTAAAAAGCCACCAGAGCAATCCAGTGGTTCAGAAATAAAACTACTTGTGAAAAGTAAAAGTAGCTTAACTTTTTCAAGATATCAATGAGAAGACTAGAGAGAACAGAATAGTCAAACATAAAATTTTACCAAAGTGACTTCCTAGTGTAAGTGTATAGACATTCTTGAACACTGATAGCAGAGAAAAATGAGATTAAATAATCAAATTCAGCTTGTTGTATGTAGATAAACTTAATCTTGAAATAGAATAGTTTTCTGACACCGAGGACAATTAAATGTTGGAATACGTCTTAGGGACAGGGCTGGCACCACGTAATGATCAGAAGCATAAGAGTTGAGTTTATGTAAAAAATGGTATGTAGCTTGAGGATTTTGGCTGGTATCTTTTGAACTTGGATTTAGCGAGTCTGTGAAGAGCTGCTTGCTAGCTTTGTTGCAATATCTTTATAACACTAACCAGTATTCACTAAGTCAGTGGTACAATAAAACATCACGTTTCAGGTCTGAGTTAGTTATCTGCAGCCGCTGGGAAGGAATGTTCTTCTTTGATGTTCAGTCAGCTAGATATAGGATGCTTCTTGCCCTCCTCTGATGGACCAAGACTTAGGGTAGTCTACACCCCTACTAAAAGATGAAAGAGAAAAATCGCATCTCATATGTCTAATTGAAAGTGTTACTCATGTATTCTGGGACAATCACACTGCAGCCTTTACAGACAAGAAAGAATTCCCTGCAAACAAGGATCCTAGGTTTCTTTTTCATTCCTGATGGCAGACTGAGCTCCTGCTACTATATTCTGGTTTATCTCAGCTGAAAAAGTCTTCAAGCATTGCTATTACCAATCTCTCCCAGGCTCTTCCCCTGACATTTCTGAAAGTTAAATTTCTGTGATCTAAACAGATATAGGGGGTGTAATTAGGGAGCGAGAATGGACTATCTGGATTAAATTTCATGTTTTGTGATAGGTAAATCAGACTAAATGAGCTGCCAGTATTTTCCAGCTTTAAACTATTTCAAAATATCAGATTTTGAAAGCTTGGTCTAAGAGTGGGATTTATGGACAAATTTTAGCCATTAGGATAAGCACAGTTTAAGTGTTCATTAGGAATCTTTTCTCTGACTGGCAAAACCATGAAAGTGAGCTGTGCAGAAGCAGTTCCTATAGCAGTGCACACTGCATATTTCTGTGTTCAGACCATTTACATTCACCAGCAACAGGATTTTTCTCAAATCCTTGTAAATTCAAACTTTTCTTTTCTGAACTTATTGTGCCAACATCTCAAGAATTTGATTGATCATCTTTCATTTGATTTGAAAAGGACATTTATGTGAACTCAAGAGATTCAAACAACCTTAGCATTAATGCTGCAAAGAAACCGCAAACTCTGCAAATAAATACTAAGTAAGTAGATTATGACTGGCTAATTTGTAAAGAAAGACTGCACAGCACCAGGAAAAAATAAACAAACAAAGAAGCAACAACAACAAAACCTCCAAACATCTATCTCCTGTGCACTGAGGGATTATAGAAATCATACGGCACAACTGCTTAAGTGTGTATATGATCATACTGTAAGTAGCTAGATCAGGAATTAAACTTACTTGATAATTCCCGTATTAAGATTGAGGTTGCTTATAGTTCTTGCAAATTTGAATTTCTTTCTTTGAAGTCTTTCATGTCAGATGTTTTCTGCAGATATGTTAGGTAACAGAGAAGTGTGAAAAGGGAAGCACTGGAAACAATCCCAAGGAAGAAAAATACACTTAAAATCGTGCTTATTAAAACACCAATCTTACAATCTGAAACTTCAGAAGAGAGGAAAAGCCAAACTAAACTTGTTCATTTTACCTTCCTTCTGTTCCTCTGTCCTCATGCGGAAGAGATTAATCTGTAATCAGATATTTTCCCACAGAGTAACTCTGCCTCCCTCTGGGCAGAGGCTGGATACACAGTTGGCAAGCAATGATAAAGCTAACATTTCTTAAATAACTCCATTGGTAAAAGAAGTTTCGGTGGAAATTCTAGGAATTTAATCGTATGTGATGTGTTTTTTCCAGCAACAGCTCTATGTTGGATCTGAGTCTGCCATAGCACAAGTGAAGTTCCACCAGTGTAACATGTACGGCACTGCCTGTGCTGACTGCTGCCTCGCTCGAGACCCATACTGTGCCTGGGATGGGATCTCCTGCTCCCGATACTATCCCACAGGAATGCAGGCAAAGAGGTGAGAACTCCTGCATTCCATTATATCCTTTTTTACAAAATACCTTCGTAAAGTGCTCCTACTGCAACACAAAATACTCTGTATCAAAAAAAAAAAAAACCAACCAAACCAAAAACCCAAGAAAACTGAGCAGTGAGAAGATATGTAGGCTGCCAATTTATTAGCACAACCTTTGAGGATTGCAAAGGAGAGAAAGTAACAAGATGGCATAAACTGCAGTACCAGAAATATTTCCATGAATGAAGCAGTGTCACATAGTAATTATTTGCAGTGGGTTTTAAACAAACCTCTATTTCCTTCTATATATTTTGTTGTGCAAAGAAAGATGCTTTACAACATCAGAGACATAGTTTGGTAGTATTATAAAGAAAACATGTCACACTGCAATAACATATGTAACAGCATTTCCAAAAGAAAGCAAAGACAAATTTGTGCTAATAGCCAAATGCCTTCACAGACAAAATGAAGCTGGAGTATCTGCTAAAGTTTAGGCTTAGGCTTTCTCCAGTGAATTTATAAAGCCTGTCCAAACCTCATGAAGTTCAACAAGTCCAAGTACAAAGTCCTGAAACTGGGGGTTCTTGTTCTTGTTGTGCACACCTTATCTTTCCATGAACCTGGGTGCACTAAAACAATGCACTGCTGACTCTAGCCAGGCACAACAGACATTTCTGTTGATTTTTTTAAAAGACAATGAGCACAGTCATGTTACATTGGGTAACCCGACATTTTTGTTAAAGCACATTAAAAAATAAAAATGAGTAATACAGCCAATGACTCATCATAATTAAGAATTTCTCGGACATCTTGCACTAAGGGATAGGGTAAACCAAGTCGGAAACCTACAACACTTTTATAAGCAGGATTGCACAGTATTCCCATGCCTTTTGCAAGCAGACCTAAGGGAGGAAGAGACCTCTGGTTGTATCCTCAATGTGAAAAAGTCTGGCTAAAATAATAAGACCCCATATTAAGACAGATGAGCAGCTGTGTAGCAGGCCAGGGAAATTTATTTCCTACCATATAAGTAGAAATTGGATTATCCTAATTATAAAGCATATGGGTTTCTCATCCAATGATGTATAAGACATTTGGGGAAGGGAAGGGGTTAAAATATTTCCCAGCAGCCTGCTAGTCTGCTATATCAGCATTTACCTTGTCTGCAGGCTACTTATTGTCTAAGAAAAGATAAGAGAAACTCACTGAGTCCTGAACTCTGTTGTACATTTTTAACATATTTCTCGCCTAGGACAATTTCCAGACTAGTAGCCTCTAAGTCCCCTGACACACGAATTTATCCAGGGTTGACTGATACAGGCAGCACCCCAGGCATTTTCCTGTCCGGTACCTCCCCAGCATTCAGAAGGTCAGTCTCTAAAAGAAGAAAATGCTGCTGTTATCACCCTCCTTCTCTTAAGATAAGCACTGCATCAGTGAAGAAGGATTTGCCTCAATTGAATGATCTTGATGTCTGGAAAACTTGTTTTACATATAAGAGTTTGGGGAACAGCCAGAGAGGGATGGATGGCCTTTGCTTTGTTCACTTTGCCTTACAGCTGAAGATCAGAGCATTTTTAATTTATGAACTTACAATAACTGTGTGGTACATGGAGAGACAGGGAAAACTACTCAGGCCATGTGTATGGAAGCTGTTTTAAATTGCCTCCCATTTGGTACCAAGTGGACAGCACTGCTGGGAAAAGTTCTTGCTAGACGACATGAAGTTTTCTGATGCCAAGTGACCCTGAACAAGTGATAACATTGCCATGGCTGCCTTTTGCTCCACCCACTATTAATGCCACATCCTGGAGTGTACATATCTTAATTTGGCCTTGTATCTGGCCTTTATATTTCTGCTCAAGCTGTACGAGTAATGTGGGTACAAAAGGCATTGGAGAGCACTTTGCTTCCCCTGTTCCTGGTAGCCAGACCTCCCCACTTCACTGGGCCTCACAGAGCTGTGCCTTACATTACAGCACAACTGAGCTGGTTTTAATACCACCTCTATCTGTTCAAATGTGGCCTTCATAGAGTGTATATTTAGGTGGGCCTCTAACTTGTAAGCAGTGCCCTGCTAGTTCAGTAAGAGCACCTCTAAGAGATCTCTTTTTAATTCTATTCCTTCTGGTGAAGAGTTGAAACAAAGCAGAGATGTATAATGTGTCCTTCCCACTTTGATTCAAATGTTATCTGCTTTAGATCCTAATGCCTCCAAGGCATGACAAGTGTTTAGAGAATAGAAAAATAGAAAAACTGTAAACTAAGGCACTAAGGAACAGGATAGAGAGATAACTGCAGCATAAATACAGAAAAACTCTGCCTGACAGCTGGTACCAATTTGTTAAGCTGTGAAAGTCTATATTATAATTCCTTTTAAATGCATAGCCTGGACAGTTAATCAGATAGAGGATTTAATTAAGGACAAATAAAAACTGAACCCAAAATTTTGTATCTTGGTGATGGTGGCACAACATCATACAATGTCATGATAGTTACAGGTTCATGGCTCCTGCATACTGCAAATACTTAAGAAGCCAAAAGGAAATTATATTACATCCAAATTCCATGACTGCTTCAGAAAGTAGAGGTCCAGGACTTCAGGGAATGTTTTAGTTCACTATTACCTCTGCGATCTGACAGAGGCAGGTTCAATTTTTACCTAAACAAGCACTAAATTCTGCAAGTAAAATTCTTTGCTGTGCCAGCTCACCATTCAGGCTGAAAAAGGGCTTTAGTGATTTCAAAATGTCTTTCAGTTCGGGTAGGTCTTCCTCTAATCTATGATTCTTTAGCTAATTTTAGGAAGCTGACAGTCACTCTCCTGCCTCTTCTCCCTCTCTGGTCTCCCTCTCTACCATCCACTCCACCAGTAATCACATAAACATGCTCTTGCACCTTGCAGCTGGGTGCAGGTGCTATGCCAAATGTCTTTTTGTTATAACATTTGGTCCAGCAAACCCTAACTAAGTCTACTGCTTTATTTATGCAAACCACAGTGATGCCTTTTCTCCCTGAGACTTTTTGACTTTGCCTCATCTATCCCTGGGAAATAACAAAGAAACATGGGGACAATGGTGATGATGATGTCCACTGTATTGCTTTCTTGCAGACTGAAAGCTAATTCATGTAGTTATAGATTGCAAAAGACACTTCCACATATTCAGTACATTTGCTAGTCACTAAAAATTTTTCCTTGTGGTACTTCATGGCAGAAACTGTCATGTACTCTATTATTCATGGAATTCTGAATGAAATGCTTACTAAGAAAAAGAATACCAAATACCAGGCTTATGTCAGTATTTCTGAAATACGTTTATCTCCCAGCATATCCCTCTTTTTAAGCACCTCTGCCCATTTTTTCCTGTTCTTCAAAAAAGTAGCAGGTGAAAGCACTGGTAAATGTTATCTTCCCCAGTCTTCACACACACAACAGTAAAACTCCATTAAACAAAGATTTATTTTTCCAGACTAGTTATGAAAAAGGAGATCTATCCTATTTTACAGGATGAGGATTTCTTTAGCTCTACAATGATCTTCAGGACTTAAATAGTACATGCCTGCTAACTGTCCTGTTCCTGCTAGGTAGGGCTGCTGGACCTGACAGAAACAGGGTTTTCTTATGGCTTTTTTCAAAGACTAATGTCTATAGTATTTTTGTATATTTGTGCAAGAAAATGTCTGTTCTGAATAATCTGTATACACAGATATACAAAGCTGGTGGCAACATTATTCAGCACTGACACTTTGCAGAGTTACCAGTAAGCATGGCTGTAGTAAGCACTGCAATGTATACATTATAGTGAGAACTCCAAGGGCATGATAAAGCTCTGTTGCCATCTCAGAATCTCAGGGTTTTTTTAATAATATGCACGCATCTTTAGCACTTTTGCTGTAAAAACCTAACACAGTCCCTACTGAATTTGCAGATTCCCTTGAAAAAACAATGACAATATATTGGTTCCGCTCTGAATATCAGTGAGGGTTAAAGATGCCCTCTTGGTCCACCAGCACCTCTGGATCAGAAGTTCATATGAGTGACAGAATTCAGGAAATAACCCCTGTCTACTGAAAGTTTAGAAATATGATGAGTAACATCCATCAGCAAGACCCTTAAGTATAAATCCACATAGTTTCAGTAAATTCAGTTTGTGCCAAATAAAAATTCTGTCTTTTGTGTTCACATAACATTATTTAAGCATTATTAAGTATTAAAAGCAAAGAATAACAAAAATGCTTGGTTTTGCTTTTTTCTATCATATATGATTTATACTCTGCACATACCTGCTGTCTAAGATTTGTTGACTTGCATATTTCTGTTAATCTGTTATGTATGGCATTGGTAATACCATGTAAAATTATGCAAATATAGGAAAGGTACCCTTAGCACAACTAAATTTTAGGTTGTTGGAAATACTACATATGGCAAGATATAACATTCCAATAGGCTCTTTTGTTTCCCTAGTAAACAATCTTAATTTTATTTATCAGGACACTCAGAGGAAAAAATTGCTGTACAAAAGCACAGTTCTTCTGGGAATGCATTTTACAGTTATGGTTTTCATTATTTTTCTGCAAATGCATATAAAAAACACAAAGTCCAAAACACACAACAATTTTTCTCTCAAAAAACAGTTGCATTATTTCCAGGTCACAGCCAGGGCTCCCAGGTTCTCACCACAGTTGACCACTCGCTCACTTTCTAAGAATGGGCATGTCATGAATACGTCTGTTTCCCTGTTGAGAAAAATAAGCTTAACAACTGTCTGCTACACAGATATAATAAGGTACATGCTCTGCTGTTTGAGATTCCCAAGTGAAAAAAAAAAATAACATGACAGCAAAGGATAGAAGAACTACCATTCACATACATGGCAAACTCTTTGAAACTAAAAAATATGAACATTTCCTTGGCTTACAGAAAGAGAGAATCCAAATAAAGGATAAAGGTCCCTATGACCCTTCCTTGAATTGAGTGTTGCCCAGTTGGTTCAGAGGATCTTAGTAGTTATAACATTAGTGTAGTTATAATGGATAAACTGGACACATAGTTCTGCCTCTTCCCCAGACAAGTGTGTTTCTTTTACTCAGACCTGTGATTCCCAATAGCTTGAGTAGAGAGAAAATACCGTTGGATAAATGTTTACTTCTCTCAACAATCCTGAAGTTTTAGGAACCAAGATTTAGCTCCTTATGTTTTTAATGAATGCCACTTTAACATAAACCAAACAATTTGTAAGCTAAACGTATTATCTCAAACACTTCCATCTTTTCCCCTCCAGACGTTTCCGCAGACAAGATGTTCGACACGGAAATGCAGCGCAGCAGTGTTTTGGCCAGCAGTTCATTGGTAATCTGCTCACACATTTACAAATTACTAGCAAATGCCTGGAGCAGAGAGCACAGGCTTTGCCAAGAGTATGAGCCAGGCCATGATATCACTCAAGTTCTTTTATTGGCATATTCTTGTAATAACTTAGAAGAGTCATGGGAGCTCATGTCATCCAGATCTAAGCATGACTTTGTTTTAATGGCAGGTTAGGTGGATCCCATAGAGTTCATGTAGCTCTGCAGCTTTTTCATTCAGACTAGGTATGTGGCTAATGCATCTCAAGGGCTTCCAACAGAAATGCTAGTGGAAAGATGGGCCAGGGATAAGAAACAACAGGCCTGTATCCTGAAATGAATATGAAATACTGCCAGGACACTCAATCAGAATTGAAGTAAAGATATGGGCAATGACATGTCAGAACACAGATGTGTATTTATGATCATCATCAAGATTTGTCCTAAAAAAATACTGATTACTGTGTCTAATGCTGTTTGCTTTCCAAGCCTCAAAAAGTGATGATTTCAAACATCAGTAATGAGAATGGTAAAACAGACAGAAAACAGTTGTTTGGACTTCCACAGTCTTTTGCTGGATAACAGCCAATATATTTGTAGAAGAAAATAAAAATCAAATATAAAAGATTCTTTTAGATAGATATTTTAATATATTAAACATCAGATATTTTACCAGAGAAGGATTCATTAAAGTTGAGTCCATAATACAAAATACAGTAGATATTGCAAAAGTGTATTCTAATATGAAATACTAATTATACCCTAAGTTTGGAGTACAACTGAAAAATCACAATGATAACAAACCCTGTAATTTTAGGGTTCAAAATTGATTCATCTCAAGAACATTTCTCACTGCTATGGATTAAGAAGTTTTTATTAAGGCAACTGGACTTCTCCAGTATAACATCTAGCTTATCTTCCTCTAGATGTTTTGTTGGATGCAAAAGCAGAATTGAGTTCTAATTAATTTTATTCACCTCGTTCTTATTGACACCCATGGGCCAAAACTTTACATGTATTTAACATGCACATTTATAATATTGGTTAGGGTATTTACAGGTGTTAAGAATTTCATTCTGCAAAAGTCTATGTGTCCTTATTTTCATCTGGTGTACTCAACATTAAAAGGACATGGAGCTGTTGGAGCAAGTCCAGGGGAGGCCATGAGGATGATCAGGGACTGGAGCAACTCCCGTATGAAGACAGGCTGAGAAAGTTGGGGCTGTTCAGTCTGGAGAAGGCTGCGTGGATACCTCATAGCAGCCTTCTAGTATCTAGTGTCTCTCAGAGAGAGACTTTTTCATCAGGGACTGTAACAATAAGACAAGGGGCAATGGATTTAAACTTAAACAGGGAAAGTTCAGGTTAGATATAAGGAATAAGTTTGTTACTGGGAGGGTGGTGAGGTCGGTGAGGCCCTGGTACAGGTTGCCCAAAGAAGTGGTAAATGCTCCATCTCTGGCAGCGTTCAAGGCCAGGTTGGACAGAGCCTTGGGCAACATGGTCTAGTGTGAGGTGTCCCTGGCCATGACAGGGGGTTGGAACTGGATGATCTCCAGGTCCTTTCTAACCCAAACCATTCTGTGATTCTATGATTATATTTAAGCATGTATTGAATCCTACTGTTTCACTGAGTGACAATGAAATAGATGAACTATTCATAAAAACAAGGCATAAGCAATTAGCAATGTGAAAGCCTGAGATCTGTTTCTCTGTGTATAATTTTAGCTGAGTCACAGCATAATTTGGTCCATTTATTTTACAAGCAGATCCTTTAAAGGTTTGAGATGATGGGAAAATTCACTTAGCAGGTCAGATCTTCACCAGACACTCTTTTTCAGTCGCTATCTGGTTGGATCTGAATTAAACTTCACTCTTAAAAGTAAATATACCCTGAATATCGAATGTAACAACTATTGGCAGTAGCACATGGTTTTAAAACATATCTTCTCCTTCCAGGTGAAGTCCTTGAGAAGGCTGAGGAGCGACTTATTTATGGAATAGAGTACAACAGCACGCTTCTGGAGTGTACCCCACGGACCTTACAAGCAAAAGTAATCTGGTTTGTCCAGCGAGCACATGATACTACTAAAAAGGAAGAGGTAAATATTCTTATAGACTAAACTTTTAAGTAAGAGCCCACTGTGAGGAATATTACAACCTCACTGACACATGGGTGTCAGGGGAAATCATTATGTTCATCTGCTCTCCTGAATTAACAGAAATGAGGATTTCATCTGGTGTTTGCATTCAGCATCTTGAACGCAGATGTTAGAAATGTAGTGAAACTTGAGTTAAGATCTCAAAACTAAAGAGAATTCACCACTTCTCTTAATATGCTGTTGCAGAGTTGGAATGTGCAGGTTGCTCCCAATGTTAGTCTAGCTTAAAGCTATTCATTCTTGCTTTCCTCATCCTCTATATTACAGAATCTTCTCAAAATGGGTGTTGGTGGATTCTCTGCCTCTTTTACATATATCTTCTTACTATAAGAGCGTTTCATAAGTGTTACTATATTTATTTCTCTCCGATACACATCAATGTCGCTATCCCCACTCAGTATGTGGAAGGATGGAGGGGGAAAAGCCTCAGTCTACCAAAGGATAAAGACGGTTGCCTTATTGCCTAGCAGCTGGGCTCCACTGCAAATGTGAGACCCCAGTTTAGCCATAGACATATGAAGATCTCTCAAGTTGGACTCATCTGATAGAAAATGTGGACATTTATAATAAAGATATTTACTTGGGTTCTAGTCAATGTAGGAGCTTTGGGGGAACTCAAACACCAAACTCAGAACCGAGGCTTTATAATTACAGTGGTATTGCAGTTAGATAATACAAATACCTGTGAATGTCACCTCAAAAACCTTTGTCAATGTATAAGAGAATTCACAGAGAAGGTATTGCAGGTCAGCTGGCAAATTCTCATTTGTTTTCCATCCAGTAGTTTATTTGCATGTTTCAACCTTATTTTCCTCTGTGATTAAGACATAAGTGACTACCCCATGCTGGGAAAACAGGGAACTATCTGCTTTACTATCTGTTCTTCCATGCTTGCCAGCTTCTTTCAACCTCTTTCCCTTCACAGCTCAATCTCTAATTTTTTCAAGTAAATATTTTTGTTACTTAAAAACTGTGAATTAGAGGATCCTGGATCTCTAATCTGTCTCTCAAGTATTATGTTCATGAAAGTACAGTTCAGAAGTAATTGCACTGATTTAATGTAATAGTAAAGGACTGTGCTCTACAACTGCACCAATTTATTTTTCAGGTGAAGACAGATGATAGAATAATCAAAATGGATCTTGGCCTCTTATTCCTGAAGCTGCATAGGCTGGATGCAGGGACCTATTTCTGTCAGACAGTGGAGCACAGCATTGTTCACACTGTCAGGAAAATCACCCTGGAAGTAGTTGAGGAAGAACGCGTAGATGAAATGTTCAATAAAGACTATGAGGAGGAGATATCTCACAAAATGCCATGCCCAATGCAGAGCAGTATACCCCAGGCATCAAAACCATGGTACAAGGAATTTCTTCAACTAATAGGTTACAGCAACTTCCAGAGGGTGGAAGAATACTGTGAAAAAGTGTGGTGTACAGATAAGAAGAGAAAAAAGCTGAAAATGTCTCCATCTAAGTGGAAATATGCCAACCCTCAGGAGAAGAAGGCAAGGATCAGGCCAGAGCATTACCGGTTGCCCAGGAACATAGCTGACTCTTGATGGACAAAATCCATCAACTGTTTATGGGTGAAATTTTATTTGGACTTAAGTAACAGGGAGAAATCAGTCTTGGTTTTGGTAAATGACACAGGTTTATATATATAAAATATTGGGACTTAAAAATGCTATGGTAAGTTATACAGTACACTCATGATGAGAGTTTAGAAGCATTTTAAATGAAATCTTCTTAACTATCTGATTTTAAGTAGGTCAATGTAATCAGAGTTTTGCATTAGGGAGGTTGTGACAATCTTCAGACTTTGAGTGCGTGAACCAGTTTCCTGTGTGGACCATGCTTGCGCTGTATATTGTTGCACATGATGGCATATTTAAAAAATTCAAATGTCTAAGCATTCACAAATGGATGAAAAACCATAACACATATGTTTTCTTTGTTTCACAAATTTCTCATGCTTCTGAAAGTGGCATGTCTTCGGATCTTTCTTTTTGATTGTGACCTGACTTTATCACTGAGAGCAATTAGTTGTGTTAATACAGTGTACTGCTATTTTTAAAGATAATGAAGGGAAATCTTATTTACTTCCCACAATTTTTTTGTCTTACCAGCCATTTATGAAGCGCAATGTGCTCTCACAGCTACATAAGATTTCCTAGTAACTTAATGTAAGTCAAATGCATGCTGAGAATGCAAACATAATGAAAATCTTCAATTTATCTATACAGAAAGTTGGAATAATATTTTAGGAAACGAGTCTATCTTGTCTGTAGTAATGGATGTTGCCTTAGTAGTGGCACGAATTAAGGGAGTGCCCTCTTGTGGCAAAACAAAGCAAAATCCGATATTGTCATCTGTTTGGGGAAGTATAACCCATACCCACAAAAGGTTTATTTGCAGCTGACACTTATAGTCTCCATGTGCTAAATCCAAAGATTTAGAAGGCATTTTAGGAAGCAATTCATACTGGAGAAACAGCATTTTAAGTAACACTTCATGTTGTTAACATGCTTTTGGGATAATATACGGTCATAAAAAGTTAGGATGTAGGTTAAAAAAAAAGAACAGTTAAAAAACAGTTACAAATAAGAACAGGATGTGCTGGAAGTAAATCTTTTCCTGATATGTCATCTCTGGTCAAAGGGCTGCTTTGCTGCTTTTGTGAGTGATACCAGGAGAGGAGATCAAAGAGCTAAGTCACTTACAGTCTAGGGCTTTCAAGACTGACTTAAAGAAAAAAAAAAAAAAGAAACAAAAAAAAAGAAACATAAAAAATATCTTTATTTAAGTACAAGAAAACAGATGCAGAAAATGAAAAAAAGAAACACAACCCAAAACAAGACAAAACTAAACAAAAAACACCAAAAATCCACATTTGAGAAATGTGGTACTCCAATGTGAACTGGACTTTTTTTTTTACATTGAATTAAAAAAAAAAAAAAAAAAAAGATAAGGAAGTTATAGACACAAATGAATCACAAATGAATTAACTCTTCAAATGAAAACATGATGCTAGTAGGGGAAATAGCCAAACTGATACAGATATTGATGTCACCAGGAAAACATAAAAGAGATTCACTAGCAACCCGAGTATCCAGGAAAACAGGGTTTCATCTTATTTTATTATAATGACAGATAACTCTTTCCATCAGCCAGTTGTGTTAAGGAAATCAATGCATCTGAGGGTTTGAACTTCTCTAGCTAGGATGCCTGTCTGAGAGATGGGACCAGACACTATACATAGCCTTACACAAATTCACAAAGTTGCTGACTTTGATCTGGTACAGGAGAGGATAAATTCACTTTTCCATGACACTTTAATGGAACCTAGCTGCTGGGGTCCTCTGTTTATACTTATATTGAAAGTACTGGCACTGAATGCTGTGGCAAAGAACATACACAGAATAAGCATCCTTGGTTTGTGCTTAATCCCTTATACAATCCTTGGTGGAAAACTTTAAAACACTGCTGAAAACCATTTTCTGATGAACTATGGACTCCACTTCTTTTCAACAATAACGGGAGTCATATTTTACTCTTTCTGATTCATTTGCTCATATCTAGTGCCAAAAGCACCATTCATGGACCATTAGAAAGGAATAACAACATCTCGGCATGATGGGATAAACATAACTTTGTGTCTTGTTCTCTGACATTTCAGGTGGAAATCATGTGATATGCAAATCAGATTTCCTGATTTATTATGAGTGCGTATTTTTAGCTCCCCATCACTTTAGTGGTTACATCTGGAGAACTTCATTAAATTTTTATTTACCTTTTAAAATTTAAACTTCTAGCTCACACCTTGCTACTTTCATTGGCTGCAATGGCTGTGAGAATTCAGAACTACAAGATCTTTTCAAAGAGTGCTATGAAAGTTCTAAGAGAGCTATGACATCTGTGGAAGAAGACAGAATGACAATGTGTTTTGGAAGGATATGCACAAATGTGCTTGTACACAATGTTATTTAAAATGCTTCTATGTATATTTGGGGGGCATTGTTTGCTTCTTTTCATTATGAGTTGGATGTATTTTGTATGTGCATGAACTGGTCAAATTATAAATATAATTAAGAACTGTATTTGACTGAAAAATCTGTATTATTTCTCATAATTTATTTTGACCATTATTAATTATATGCAGATTACTATTCACACATCATTATTTACAGATGCCCTTCACCATGTATTTTATGAGCAGAGATCTCAGATCCGGACAGAGAGATATTAGTATATGGCTGCTAAGTAGGAAACTAGCACAGGGTAATCAGTATATTTAGTGTGTTAATGTCAGGTAGATTTGGAAAAGCCATTGAGTAGAGCATCATCTGCTGCATGGATGTGTTTTGAGAATGGAACATGGTCACTTAAACCAAGAAGATTCTAACTAATGGAAATTCACTGACAAACAACAATTTGGATAAAGCTTTGAACTGTGCCCTGCTTCCTGCTAAGGTGCAAGCTAGGTTGCTTGGACTAACACTTCGTTTTGTTCCTGCTCTTTTGTTGTCAATGAGATTACTGTCACCTTGTACAAATGACTGTGTTCTCAGATTCTGTTGGGACATGAAGACAGGAGAGTGCTAGACTGCTATGAAATTCCCGGCTTGTCTCTTTCAAAATAGGCTTTTACGGTCCACACAATTTTTCTGTAGCATGGAACATCTGTAGGCATGAGAGAAAAAGAATTGCCCTACACTCAAGTACCTGAATAGCACAGTTAACAGTGACATTTGAAGAAGTGCTTGAATTAACATAACTAACATAATTATAGAATTTCTCTTGTTCTTTTCTTTTAGTTTGAGGGAAGGGGGGATAGAGATAACTTTCTTTTCCATAAAAAAAAGCAGTCAGTCAGTTTCCCTTTTTAAAAAGTCCATTAATCTACTTAGTCTGCACTGGGGCAGTGCAGCTGGATTTATTTATGCTACTTTATGTCTCTGGGTCCAAAATGCACGAATGCCTCTGAGATCTGCACTGTCCAGATAAGAGGCCCTGAGTGTGAGCTTTTCTGCATTTGTAACCTAGCAGGATGTCTGCAACACCTATCAGACCTGGAATCCTGTTCAGTTCACCAAATTGCTGCTTTTGAAGGAGAATTTATGTCCAGTTAACATGGGTATTTATCATAAATGAAGCCATGATTGACAAGTCTTGCCTTTGGGTGATATTTACTTTTTCCTTTAGTAATGAGGAAAATAAGTTATCTGGCTAGCACTATAAACAGAAAAATGGCAGAGCTAGCAATATCAAGTAAAACTACTAGCCACTATTAATGAATCAATATTCTACAGTGATACACACATTTCAGAACAAATTTGCCAAATATCAACCTAATCCATCACTGTAATCTGATTTCACAAAACAACTTTGCTCCTTTGAGATATGGCTCTCATGTAATGTGGAAACAGTGAATATATCGTTAAGCCTTTGCACACGTGCACATAATTTGCTGAAGTGAGAGGTGCAGTGCTGAACAGAGTTGAATGTAGTTGGAGCATGGGAGCCTTATCTGCCTAGTTCCTAGATTTCCTGAGATTCTTGTCTCTGTCTAGTACAAGCAGACTGAATTGCAGGAGGAGATGCCTGGAACCATGAATGGCTTGGTGAGTCACAGATCCTGTTTCAGAACATCTGTGGGCTAAAGAGCCATTGTGAGTAACTTGTTTTAGTAGATTTCCCCAATTGCGACACCCTGAAAACTCCATTGAAACAAAACATCTCTTTACTTGCAAAGTCAGTTAATTCAGCTGTAGAATTTCATGTCTTTAAGGATGGTTTTGCACATCTTTTAAAAGCTGAATTTGAAGAAGTACAGTCTAGGATTACATTTAATATGGGTGTGTTCGTATATAAATCATAAACTCTCAGAATTATATCTAGTCAGTTTGAAATTCAGTGTATCCAACAAAATCACACATATATCTCATGATGTTTTTTTCTCATGTTGAAGAATCACACTTATTCAGTGCCCTCAACATGGATTTCAAACAAGTCTGTGAAGGCACATAATGTTAACCATAATAATCATCATCATTGTGATCATCGTAAGCTGCAACAGCTGTAACTCAGTGTCTTCTCCTCTTCCCAATAATAAGAGATTAAATTTGCAGACCAATGGGTATAATTAATGCACCATGAGCATTTTCTGCATTTTAATTTGCTAGATGTATTAAGAGGTGCTATCAACAACCAGAATTAGAGGAATGCACTGTGTACCTTGTCAAATTATGGTAATATTCCACCTGTGGCTTTAACTCAGGCATGCAGATCAGTTGTATTTAATTCACTGCATTTTCTCCTGCTTAAATATGTTATTACATTATTATTTTGAAATCATTGAAAATAATGAGAATTTCATTTTGCTTTTTATGTTCAAAATTTGTTTAGTTTCCCAACAGCCACTAGAGGGATGAAAATACATTTTTTTGTCCCTTACTCTGCTGTTTACAGGAGCAGAGAAGGCCTGTGGCTAAAGCTCACCCACCACACAATGCAGTGCAGTGCTGCATCAAGGTAGAGTAGTGCCAGGTGAGTAGGCAAGTTAGATCAACAGAGTGTGATGCCATGCAGAGACCCCAGCTTGTGCTCCAAAACACCTGTGTACTAATTAATACCTTCCTGCTATCAGGTGGAAACTTCTGGAAGAGGGTCAAAACAAAACATCAGAGGTTAGTTATTAGCTATTAGGGAATATAGAATCATAGATTAGTTAGGGTTGGAAAGGACCTTGAGATATAAAGCTTCTTTACAATGCTGTCCATCTATGGTCTTGTCATACTGAGCTCAGGGTACAGTCCATATTGATATTTAAATCACAAGACCCTGTGGTTGTTCAGGGCTTTTTGATTTGCTCTGTTGTTGTTCTGTTGTTGTTTGGGGGCGGGGGTAGGGTGGAGCTGTTTGTTTGGGTTTTGTTTGTTTAGGTGGGAAAAACAGAAAAATGCAAAATTTTTAATAGAATCTATGAGATCTTTTTAACATATATTCATACAAATTAGATGGATTCATCAGATGAACTCCACCATGATGCTTTAAGGTAATCAGAAAGACCATTTCAAGCTAATTTTTGTCACAAAGTAAATACTCCAAAACATAGGAGCTATCAATCTAGCTGAAAATATGGTAACCACATCTGAGCAGTTCTGTCTTTTATTGTTAAATAAAGTCAGTGAGGAGGATAAAGTTGACAGCATTCAAGAAGAAAATGTATATTGGGGAATGCTTTTGGACAGGGCCATTCCGTTGACGCCAGGATCACATGAGTATATATTTATATAGTTAAGTGTCGTGGTTTAACCCAACCAGACAGCTTGTTACCCACTCCCCCCCCTTTCTTGCCCTCCCCCTACTCCTG